ATGAATAGAGCTAGATGACTTTTACAAGCGTCGTTTTATATGGCTTGTATACGTAAAGGCGTATCACTTTCTGCACGAACCTCCTAATTAACCGGTGCGCAGATTTTTATGGAATTACACAAAATGTAAAGCTACGAAAATGGACAGAACGTACGTGATGTGCAAAAACATAGAAAATATTCAAACAACAGTGCTATTTGTCATATCTAATATTGGATTGGATATTGATAAAATCCGCAATCACTTAGTTGTCAACCTAATAGGTCCTACACCCTACTCCTTTAATCGTATCCATGAAAATATGAATTTTCAAATCAATCTGCAGTCTAGTAATCGCAAATATATTTATAATTATCAGGCAATATTATTCGTTATTAATATAATTATATTCAAAATTAATATTGGAGATGCGACTCTGTTTTTCCTAAAATTCGTTTCCTCCAAGCTTGTTTTACACGCTTCCTTTGCACTGTTTACTATTTCTACGCTATGTTTCTACCTTCTTTCATTGCATTACCTTTCCTCCATTTTCTCTCGTTTCGTTTTCACCGTCATCTATCATTACCCGCATCTCCCGTTGTCTCGAGCTGCTTCCTTCGACTGTCCTAGCTCTTTCTTCTTTTTAAAGAAGACATGCAACTTTGTTTCATTTTTATTTTCTTCCAACTCGTGTAGCTTTTTATCATCGCACGTACCGCGCGACTTTTTGATCTTTTTTTCTTTTTTAAATTTCTTCCTTCCCTTTCTGTAATTCTTGCCGAGAAGCAAAATTCTCCTTAGGAAAGGAACATCGATTATTTCTCAACAGTTTTGTCCATTTCGATCAGATATTGCTTCATCCATTTTCTACGCTCTTTCTACGCTATCTTCGCCCCTTTTACAACCCTCCGCTGTCCTTTATCCCTTTTATCAACTACAATGCTATCTTACCCCCGTTCTCACATCCTCTTATCTTCTTTCGCCCCTGTTTCTCTCTTTCACCCCTTTCCATCCTCTCTCATCTTCCAACCTCTTGAACTTTCCTAATGGATTACTGATCGCTGGAGGATAACAGGAAATTCACCGACGAATTCGTGAATTTCTCTCCGGTTAAATCGAACTGTAGAACGTCTCCTTTATCATATCCTTTTCGCTCCATCTCGTCCGCACTATCAAATTTTCTTCTCTGTTTAATCTGGCTTTTTAATAAGATTCTCCCTTGAGTTTTCGTTTCCCTGCATTGTGCTTCTTCTATGTCTTCTTAAGGAACAACGAAACGAACGAAGAGATACGCGACTGTAAATGATTCTCAAAGGTAAATATTTTGTAAATAATAATTATTACATTCGTAGGTCAAATTTAGCTTTATGGGTCACTGTTAAGTTTACAATCATAGATTATTAATTAGAGATCAAATTTATTGGTATAGATTATTTATCGAAAGGGGTTAAAATTGTCTCGTTATAGATCGTAGATAAATCGTAGTAGGAACAATGGAGAAATATTTGTGAAACCTCTTTGAGTTTCTGCGAGGGGAAATTTCAAATTTCCTCGGACATTTTCTGTCAAACGATCGGGCACGATTTTAATCAAATTTCCACTGAGAAGTCTATCGATATTTTCAAACAAGTTGGCTACATGTCTCCGTTTTACAAATTGCACGCAGGGAAAAGATGGCTGGAAAACAATTTACAAATTGCAATTTCAATTAAAATTTCGCTGTCGTGTATACAGCGTCGCGCAGATTGAACGCGCGGTTCCTTTTTTACAAACTACAAGGGCCAAACAAAATTCTACGAACGTACTATTCGCGAAGAAAATGAATTTTTCGAACAATTCGAAATAGCAAAAATGCAACATCGCAAAGCCAACTCTGCTCTTCTCCTCAACTTCTTCTCGTTCCTGTATCTCTTCTTTTTCTCGATCGTTTTATTCGCGAGAAGCATGGAATACATGCAGAGGTAATAGCAAGACCAAATACTTAAAAACTATGTGAAATTTACCAACGTCTATCGAAACGTAACATTCATTTAGGACAGAAGAATTAAAAATTAGAAGGACAGAAGGATTAAAAAAATAACGCACGACAATCTCTTCTTCTCGTATCTGCAGAAATATCTTCAACAATTTATAGACGACAATTCAATTCGCTCGATGGATATCGTCATTTCCTTTCTTTTTAACAATCGGTAAATTATCTTCTCAGAATAATCCATGGCAAGCACCGAGCGCGATACGTAAGACGACACGGTACGCTTCTCGACTCCGTACGCTTCGACGTGCAATTATATCGTAGCGATATTCGATGCACTTATCGGAATCGTTCGAGTTAACCCCGTTGAAACGCCATTGAGAGCCGGTAACTTCGCCCTCCGGATGCAAACTTATCGCGAACGTAAACCCCCTTTGCTATTATCCCTCGAAACATTAAGCCGATATCGAAGGGATTAGCCGTGACGTGTTCTTCGGAGGCAATGGCCGGTTGAAACTTTCATCCGTCAGACAGCTCTCCGTAGTTGTAGATTGATCTGAGGTTCGAGAGTGATCGATTTCTTTTCTCTTTGCTCTTTTATAGTTCGTTACGAAGTTGCGAAAAGTAACTACTAGCCCATTCTCTTTTCGACTGGTTGGTCGATCGGCGTTGCGGTTTCTCGAATCCAAAAATTTGTAAATTTTTGAACATTTTGAAGATTCCGAATTTTCAAGCCCAGAGCGTTCGTATTTCTCGAATATCCAAACTGTTAAGAATTCAAGATTTTCGTACCTTTCCCACACGCTCCAAATGAAATATCGAATATAACGAATTTGGCGTATTTTCTAAAGTTGGAATATTCGAATTTATTTCAAGATCTAAGTCTCGATATTTGGAAATATTTTATTATTAAGTCTAGAAATCGATCGTTTTCCAAACGTTGGAATTATCAAACTCAGAACGTAGAATCTTCCTCCTTTGCTAAAAATAATCCCAAAGGCTTAACAAACCGTAGCACGTACGATGCTATAGAGATTAAAAAAAGTGGTAGCAAAAATAACGAAGATTAAGACAAAAATACTGCAAGTATCGTACGTAGAGGCATGAAATATATCGATAGACGCAGATCGGGCTGACGGATATTTTCTGCCGTTCCACTTCTGTCAAAGTTCGTCAGAGAAGCACGTGCGCGATATTCCATTTATCGAGAACCTGTTCGATTTCATTTATTTCTTTGCCGACCTGGTCATTAATGGGACAACTTCGACGCCCCCGTAAATTTCTACGACGCCTACGAGAAAAGGCGGTGGAATGACGCCCCGTTGGGAATGACTCGCGTTTCGTACCGATCTCCATGTCGAAACTCTTTCTAATTATCGTGTCTCTCTTTTTCCTAACTTGCCACTTGCTACTGCCGCTAAATATTAAACTTGTTATCTTTTCGATCGATACGATTGCTGATATTGTTTCAGATGAACATACGACATGGAACAGTACATTTTTAGTTTGTCGATATTCAAAGAATATCCTGTCGTGTTAACTGAAAATCGAAAGGTAGTTAAGTAAAAAGAAAGGACGTATCAGCAACTTTCGATTAAATCGAGTCGTTGTTGCTAGGTAGCGTAAAAATATTTGGTTGGCAACTAAGTGATTACGGGTTTTGTCGTTACCACCTAATGACAAATTCCGCAATCACTTAGTTGCCAACCCAATAATTTTTCTACATGTACATCAAATAAGAAAATCCTTTCTGCATTGAAATTCATCGTAATAGTTTGAAAGATGTAACGGCTGTCTTTCTTTTTTTAGTCTGACCAGATACGTGAAATCGATACCTGGTTATTAAATATTAAAAGTCAATTTTCTCGAAACCACCTTCTCCTGGCAGATACGTCTGTGTGAATTAACAGGACAATATCGTGAGATATAAATAAATGGGAGATACAATTTATCTTATTGGAAATATAAATTTTACCTTTTTTTTTCCCAACTGATATTATATATTGCTTTCTGTGTTTCTTTCTCTGTCCTATGCTGAATATTAAATTATTCGTTCGACAAGCTTCGCAAGTGGTAATTTTACTTTGATTTCGTTTTTACAGTGCTCTGATCAAACAACGTGTTCCGTGAAATAAGATCTAAAATGCAAAACAGCTTCCTCGCGCGTGAATCTCAAACTATCTATTTCAGAATGCTTCTGAATATCCTAACCACTGTTCCACAAACTTGTCATCGTATCAAGATAAACTTGCAACTAGTAATAGGGGGTTACGGTAATCGATATCTCGAATATCGATACTTCTCAATTCTAACAGCGATATTTTGTATCGGTGTGACGATATATCGCGGTATCGATAGCCGGCTCATAAATGTCGAAATGGACCGATCAAATAACTCACTTCTGAGCAAACTAGCGACAAAAACATTGCCCGGTATCTCGTTACACCACCGCGCAATCGTCTCATTTCCGAATCATCGATTTTCTAACGTGTTCTCGGAAGCATGATTCTCAATGACTTTTTTTTCATAAATATTAACCCACGGACAGCAGTAGTTTCCGAGATATTCGTTAAAAAAGAAAAAGAAAAAAAAAAATAAAACTGCCACTGCTCCATTTGCGATACACATCACGTGTATCGATACTCCGAGTATCAATAGCGGTATCGATAGCAAATATCGATACGATACGATACCATTTCTAGTCACAGCTGTAAATTTTTCATTGTAGAAAAATACCAAGCAATCATTTTCAGTTAACTGTACGTACCGGATTTCGAGAAGCTTTTAAATATCAACCTCTTTGAGTCAAAATTGCCACGTAATTTTTGAATTATTTAACAAATGATTCAGGAGATTGAAGACAGTGTGTAACATTTAGCGAGTGGAATATTTGATAATAATAATAATACAAATCTATGTTGTGTGTTATATCTATATATATTATAAATAATAAAATATAGAAAGACGTTGGTCATTTTCTTCCTGGTAAAATCAACTTTACTCGCATTATCGCTGATATTATTTTATATTTTGTATTATTTACTTTCAGCATCACTTGCTACATCCGACAAACACAGGCGCACAAATTTCTGCGCTATACTCAACGGACCGATCTTTTCCATCTTTTCACTGTTTTCTTCTCATTACCAGACAAAAGGTTCTCAAAGAGTTTCGAAAATATCGGTAACGATTTCTCGTTATTCAAGCGTCCAATGTAAAAACACATTCGTAATTCTTTGAATTTAACTTTGTTTCTAGCATCCATTGCTTTTTTTTCTTTACTGTTTTATTTGACATTTTTCATATCCTTGAAAAGTATGTAAGACACGAATTAACGTGTCAAAGTAACGCTGTACCGCTGTAAAGGGCACGATTAAAGGATTCTATCAAAATGTAAGAGAAATCTAAAAACTTCAAAAGAATCCTTAGACGCAACATCGTTAGAGAACAAGGTAACCATCGTAAAAATTCTTTATACAACGTGCTCTGAAATAACGATTTCTTTATTAAGGAAGCCATAAACCCTTCCCCGGGAGAAGATACAACGGTTAAGATGAAACGGGAAACGGAAACCGCGCGACGGAGCAGCGACGAAGATAACGAAGCCGTTCGAGCCAGGTACCACGTAACAGCCACTTTCAAGCAAATGCATTTAAGGGAATAAATGGATGGTCAGCGTGATGAGGCGCGTTAAGTGCCGCTCGCCAGGCGTAGCACACGTGTCAAAAGCAAACTACGAGTACGGCTCGTATATCGAAAAAATTACGGACCCAAAGGAATATCATGGGGTATCCTTGGCAAGTCGAAATATCGAAAGATCGCATATTTTTCTTTTTTTCTTTTAATTTGTATTTTTAAAATAGAATGGACGAAACTTTCTGCAGGCAGAAGAACTGGCAAAAAAGAAAAGAAACAAAAAACAAGAGTAGATTCTCTTTATTAATATTGAATATGCTTTTGAATTTGAAATTTCCAATAACAACGTAGAGAAATTTCTTGGAGGATTTGTCAGTAGAGATCTTTTCTTTCCTTTTTTCAGAAATTCGTTTGCACTTTTGAGAGAAAACGGGCAAATTCTCAATAAAATTCTGACTAATTCAAAAACTTCCGCCGGCGTTTTGCGATTGTTTCCTGGCACATGTTTCGTCACGAATGATGTACTTTTTACTTCTAAGGAATCATCGAGTCTCTGCTTGTATTTTCCACAGTTCTCGAAGCTGTACTACAGCGTTTTGTTGATCGAGATATTTGGAACATTTTTGCCGCTCATTTCCTCCTTGAAATTTCATTAGAAATACAAAATTATGTTCCTGCGTTCTATGGCACAACGGTATACGGTAAAAACGCGACGAAAATAAATTACTTGCTACTTTAAGAAAGAAGAGAAGCTACCTCGAATTTATTGTAACGACCAACGACAACAACCAAGAAACAAAAATTGGCGGAGAAAAAGAGATTAAATCAAATAGCAATTCTGCGTATATCGTCAGAGAGAATATGGCACGGGGTAGAAGCTTGGGTACAGTGTACGTGCACAATGTAATAGATGGGCACACGAAAGTTGTACCGGCTGGGCAACGCAAGAACTTAATCATTTTCGATGTTATCGTGGTTAATTTAGATTAGGTGTAATATCGCACAGCGTATACGTATTTTACCCACGTCATTGGGCAAAAAAAAAAGAAAAAATAAAGAGAAATAAAAGAACAGAAAGAGAAAAATAGAAGAAGCTTTCGTTTTACTGTTACTAAAATAGAACGTTTTATTTCCTCTGCTTGTTGCACATTATGGAACCGTCGAATAAATACAATTTGGTTCGCACAATTTGCTTTGCTAATTAGAAAGTTGTGTAAACTTCCACAGTTAAGTAGGTTTCGTACAGGTTCGCTCTACGTAGAAATTACCGGACGACGAAAAGTTTGTCGATGAAAAGCAGATGATATGTTTCTTAATTTTGAGGAAAAATCCGTTGGAATTTGTGGACGACCAAAGGTTTGACGAAAGAAATGAAATAGTAAAAAAAAAATGGGAAACGAATAATATTGCGTTTAATTTGCAATTGCGAAAGGAAACGAATGAAAATTTCTGGGAATGGAAATGAAAAATGTCGGCGAAAGGGAGAAATTTTGTTGCTTTAGAAAGAATGCAATCCTTTCTCCTTAATCCTTTCGCAACGACCAAGCTGGCTAAAAAATGTGCAGCGGAGCACTGTGTGCGATTCCTTCCCACGAATGAGACATTAACTTGCAATTCCGTGGGTTATCTAAATTGTTTTACAACGCGGCATTCCACCGTTTTATTTAGTAAACTTCCTCCTTAACGGATAACGCACACGTGTGCTGTGTGTTTTTGTTAGAACGACAATTATCTGTTCACTTAATTGAGTAACTTCAACGAATAAGCCAGATATTCCTATATTTTTACATAAACGATAAAAACTAATTAAAAAGTAGATAAAACGTAACTAGAAAAGGAACGTTATAAACGAAGAGGAATTTACACAGCGTAGAGAATGAAAACGATTGGACTTTCTATTATCAGGAAGACTTCGTACAATTTTTCAAATGAACAATTATTAATTAGTAAAAATGTATAATTTACTAAAAATATATAGTCACGATTGTATAGAATATAAGAATCGATAATAGAAAAATTCTGATCCTATTAATCAATATATACCGTGTACATATGTTTTTAACATTTAAGAACGGAAATACTGTTGCTCAACGGGCGTAAACAACTACATACGTTGATTCGTGGGATCGAGACGATACAGAGGAAGGAGAAATAAGATGAAAGAGCCAATGCATCAGTGGGAGCACGCGTGTACCGTTATATCGTTCGAAAAGGTAAGGAAACGTGCGCCGTAAACGTGTACAAGAATGCCCACGCGTGCCTCTATTCCGGTACACGTGTCGTTCACCATGCATCCAGAAGTTCAACGCACCACAAGAATAATTAGAGCTGAAAGTATCCCTTGAGCGATGAATTTTTCTTTGAATAAATCCATCTAAAATATCAATTTCATCATTCTTGTATGATATTGTACGTGTCGCACCTACGAATAATGTGAATAATTTAGATATAAGATTTTTTTTAAAAAAGCAAAATATTTAGCAAATCTCTTCCTCTTCTTCTTCGTCTTGCGTTCTTTAACACGTCGTATCGACAATACGGTGATTAACGATGATTTTACTCGTATCTGGTCTCGCAAGTCTGTCGATTTGATAAATTTCCCGAGATTTTCTCCACCTTCTTCCAAATCGAATATTCGCTCGTGTTCTTCGATGATTCTAAATCCGTCTTCATCTAATCTTGTACATTTTAGAATTATACTGCTGTTCGTAGATGCACTGATACTTGTGTTGCCGTATACGTTCGTGTACATGTACACGTTTCCTTTTACCTACCTTACGAATTATCTTCATGATAATTTCATCGATACCGTTTGTTAATAAATATACGTTTTAACATCGTCGAAAAATAATATGGAGATCGTAGAGCAACGTGATAAATCCACGAGAAAGAAAGTAAATTTAGAAAAGAACGCAAAGTAATGTAATTAGGCGAAATCCGTAAATACGCGAGTCTGCTGATATTTCTGGATGAGTGTGTGCTGCACTGTAAGTGGTAGGTGGCAGAGTTTACATCACGGAACAGCTTTTCTTCGTAATAGAAATTTGTGCGTTGGTCCTGTGTGTGCAATTAGTATGTAGTCTGAATAGCTCGATCTCTGCTATTTTATGTTGGTTCGGCAAGGGAGACTGGGATATCGCTCTGTTATTTCGTGTGGTTCCTCTGTCCACTTTTCGCGTAATTAGAAAGCAGCGGATTTGATCTTCCTTTTAATCAGAAATCTAACCAAAGACGGTTTTAACGAAGAATAGTTAGAAACGCAGGATATAAGAAACGATATTTCTGTCATATTATTAGATGCTTCAATTGTAATAAATATTACTATTACTAAAGGGGAGGAGGGTAAGGTTAATTCGTACAAAATAAGGCATGTTTTTATGAATTATTTCTGACGACACAGTTAAAATCTCTTTATTAAAACCTACCTAACGAACGAACTTTGATTTTTTGATTTCGGACGATCCAGCACTAAGTTATGAGCAATTCTACTTTTTTCCCAGACACGTCCGAATAATTGCTGCCATTGCCGTATTTTTTAATATTTCTCCGTGAAAATTTTATACAATATTCTTCGAATGTCATACTTTGATGTACTATTGGTTTTAATAAAGAGATTTTAACTGTGTCGTCAGAAATAATTCATAAAAACATGCTTTATTTTGTACGAATTAAGCTTACCCCCCAACCCCTTAAGATATTCTTTCCACCCGAAAGAATCGACCCAAAGCCATTGGATTTTCCTTCGTTAGCGACACGAAGGAAAACTGCGAATGTCTAAAAGGTCGATATGACCGAGCAAAATTCTGCAACATTTGCAATTTCCATTGATTCGTCGATTGATCCAGAGATCAATATTCCACGACCAATATTCATAGACCAATATTCCACGACGAACAGAAAAATTTCAACTATCGAAAGTCTGGCCTTCTAAAACATCGATACGAACCTCGGCCAAGAACCGCGAAATTTGAAATCTTTCGAAGAACGTAACCCGTCTGAAACTTGCTGCGTGTTACCACAGAAAATCCGATTCTCGCAAGTTTCACGGTGACCTCAATCACTTATTTGTAACTTTAACGTGATAGTATGTATGTATATATTGCGATTATGGTGGTATCATAATTTTCAAGTGAAATTCAGTAATTTCCAAGTAGGATGACGAGGCACGCGTTTCTCGTTACGTGACTGCATTCACGCGGCTGTTTATCGTAATGGACACGATTCAAGGGGAGCAATGACGGAAAATGATTAATCGGACGCGGTTGTTTAACTATAACGAAAGTTCTCGGTCACGTCTCACGGTGCGACCTCCACCACGGAAATGAGACACAGTTCCCTTCTAACTGTTGGAAACGTGTCTCGATCTTCTCTTTGAATGTCCCCTTTCAGGCTACAAGAACAACGAAACTCGTTATTTTATTATTTTCTCATTGACAAGCTAAACGAAACCAGTATATATTTCAATTATATAGTTATATATTCAATTATATAATTATATTGTCATTTATATATATTTTTTCATCAATATATTAGGTTGTCCAAAAAGCTTTTCTCGTTTTATAAGGAAGCGATAAACAACATTTCTTGTTTTATATTATTTTATCGAATTATGTATGATCTATTTTGTTGTATTTGAAACTTTGAAACTTTCTTTGAAACTTTTCTGGGCAAACTAATATTTTGTATGCATAGCTTTCGCATAAAATTAATTGTTTTAAAGCCAAGTTAGCTTTACATCATAAACGTGAAACCTATAGCATGTATGAAAGACAAAGACAAACATGAACACAAGAACGCCTCTTCGCTTGTCTTTCATACGACGAAATTAAAGTTAAAATATCTGCTAAACTAAGTTTTCCTATATAAATAGATTAATACCTTTTTATGTATTAAAAAACATATGGTTCCATAAAAAAAAAAATAAAGTTGACCATAAAGTCTCTCGTATTACTGCAAACAAATAATTTGCATCGTATGATGTCCCTCTTCGAACCAAAGAACTTTCGTTAAAACATTTTTGTCACAACTTTAATTTCTCGCGAGATGCTCTATCGTTTCCAGTTAAACGAAACACCCTGTATATACACGAATTTTCATTTTTGTATGTATAACTCGATGCATAGTTAACCAGTGGCAACGACGTTTCTTTGCTTATGTGCTATTTGCATAATTTAATTTTAATGTAAGAATTCTAACATCGCATGATTTATAAAAAATTGTAGATAGGAAGATGAATCCTTTTGTTAGATTTTTTGAGTTCTGTGATTTGATTTATATGATAAATAATTCATCTTCCATACGATTCGATACAAGTTTTTAATCCCTCCATGATTCATTACAAATTTGTCAATATTCTACGATTCGTTATAACTTTTCCATCCCACCACGCAATTCATTATATTTACGATTTATTATAAATTGTTCATTCCCCCTATAAATTTATTATACATTTATTATTTCAACGATT